TACGATCCTTTAAATTATATGAAAATTTATAAGAATAGACAATATGGTCAATTGTTTTCATATTATAAATTTTATTAAAAATCGTGCGATTTTAATCTCGTAAAAGGAGCTTAAAATTTAAAATAGCCCCTTAGTTACCTATTTTTGCATTTATAATAAATATTTTTCTTAGTTCCTTATATAATTTTAACATTAATCTTATTAATATTAAAAATAAATTGCAATCATCCTTTTTTCTATAATAGATTGTCAATTCTAAATCAAAGAATTACAATTATCCTTTTTCTATACTATATTGTCAATTCTAAATCAAAGAATACAATCATCCTTTTTCTATAATAGATTGTCAATTCTGAATAAAAGAATTACAATCATCCTTTTTCTATAATATATTGTTAATTTTAAATCAAAGAATTACAATCATATGCATGTCATCCTTTTCTATAATAGATAGTCAATTCTAAATCAAAGAATTACAATGGTTAACTCATATGCATGTCTGAAGTGCGCTTACTAAAAATACCATAATAAAGATCTTTTCATAGTATTGTCACGGTTCCCCTCGTGACACATTTCCCGGGGCTTAGATAGTCATGATTTTTATTATTTTTATTATTATTTTCTTTTATTTACGTTCGTTGTTTGTTTGTTGTTATTGAGGTATAATTGTTGAGGACAATTTGCAAGATATATCTGATAAATATATCTATAAAGAGTAGGAAACTGGTTATTGCTGCTGTTATCGTAGGCCCATTATTCACTAAGTTGAGGTTAAACTAGTTATTGTAAGGAAAATTGTTGGATTGTGCACAAACCGTTGTACTGTATCTTGATAATTGTGCATGGTCATACACAATATTGTTTCCACCCGAGTTGTTTACAACCTTGGCACGGAATTGAGAGACAACGTTGTTTAGTAAGGGTGGGAAGCGCAGTAACTATTAGTAAATGAATAATGTATTTAAAGGGTTCCTTTTGACTTTAATAAAAGTTTCTCAGACTTCAATATCTTAGTATAAAATAAGGATTGATTTCTCAAATAAAGTCTTTGATGCTTCGGTATAATAAACATGAATTAATCAAGAACCTGTTGCTAAATAAACCCGTCCCAAAGTTGCGATTGGAGCTAAACTGCGCATGTATGCGTATCGCTCTCCCAACTGATCGTAACATATGGTGCCAGTTGTGTAAATTGAATATGTAATCCCACATTTTCATAAGCTATAAACGTCCAGATTAAGATGTTAGAAATACTCTTAACCATGTATGCATTTAGAGAGACCTTGATTCGAAAAGAAAAAAGAAATCCATCTTGATGTTAGTAGAATGGATCTTGACGAAGGACGAGTTAATTCGGAAAATAGTACCTGTGTAAGTCATTAATGTGAGCCTGGTACTGGCGCGAATAGGTACTGTGCAGCAGGGAGGTGTGTCTATCTGTAAGTTGTGTAATTAGCCTGGTACTGGCATGTAAGTACTACGCAAAAACAGAGCAGAAGAATTAACTAACATTTCAGTATTGTGATATGATACTTACCTAGAGAACAGAAGACTTTTCTCTTGAAGGATTCTTTGGAAGCTCTTTGAAAGACCTGGACAATTTTAGAATTAGACGATTAGATATGGATAGAATATACCGAAAAGTTTCTGGATATCAAATGTATATTGTCGACCTTGACCAACTTGGATTATACTCGAAGTGAGAACAATAAAAGCTCTTTGTAAAATAAAAGTAATACCTGAAAAAAAAAAAAATTTTAGCTATGAATATGGTCTTGAAGGAATATGAGTACTAGCCATGATTTGTTATTCACCTTGCAGCTAAAGGCTCTCTCCAGGAAATGAACGACTAATAAAAACACTAGATAACTCTTACCAATCTCTTGATTTACATCGACCTCTCTCAAGAGTTCTAAAAGTGATGTTAACCAAAAATTCAATTGCAAGTGACCTTATAAATAGTTGAAGATTAAAATGAAGCAAAGCAGAAAAGGATATGATAATAAATTAGATGATTACAATAGCTATATGTAGGAGAGGCACATAGCAAACAGTTTGCACAAATAACCAGAGGTTTCAAGTGATGATACGAGCTGACCTCAGCTCAATGACTAGGTCAACCCTTAACCTACAACTTGTAGACCAGCTAGTTCGATGTAATAAACTTCAATGTGAATTAGCACGTCTATATGATATTATGCAGGTATATGTATAGATCGTAAGTACTATACAAAAAAAGCCTAATTCACTATTTTGTTCGCATATATTATCACATTTAGAGAAACAGTAGGCTCAATAGGAACAGCTACTTCTTGTATTATCTTGGTTGCTTTACCTTACTTATGGTTTAAAAAAACTTAACATTCACTTAAATAGTTTATTAGTACCAATATTGGGAAAATGAGCAGTTTATTATTATATGCAATAGTTTGCTATAAGGCTAGAAAATATTTTATTAGAACTTGAGAACTTCTTAGCAAATAATTCACCTTTTGATAAAATACTATTTAATCAATTTAATTGTAACATAATTAAATATTAGACCTTTATTATACATGAAACTCATAAAGAACTTATAAATTTGGCACTTTATTTATTTAAAATTTGTATCAATAGTGCCTCTGTTAAAAGATTATTTTTAATCATAGGATTTTTACATAGTAAATGCAGAAATAGGTTTGAGGTATGTTTAATTTAATCTTAAAAATCATAGTCTTAATAGTACTATATGTAACTTTAAAATAATACTATATAGTACTAACTATAGTATTCAAGAAACTTGATAGTTTATTTAATAGTACTCAAATACTATAGTCAGTGCTATATAGTAATTATAGTATTTTTGTTCTAATTCTAAAGATAAAAAATATGTTGACATTAGTTGATTATTTTATTATCAAATTTTTTTATAATTTATAAAGTTTAATATCAATAGGTCTATATCATTTTCTTAATATTTTTTTTTTAGACAATTATTTTATCTACATTACATTAGATAATGATTAAATTTAAAGTCTGATAATTATTAGTAATCAAGCTTTAATTATTAATCATTATTCTACATGATGTTAGTGAAATAATTATTAAAGAAAAAAATATTGAGAAAATATATAGTCCTTCTAGAATACTTATATATTTTGCAAGTTTAAAGTTATTTAATATTATTAGAATTGCAATCTTTGAAATTTTAATATTTTTATTTTTATTATTTATTATAATAATTTAAAAATAATTATTAATATTATTTCTATTATAAAAAAGCTTTTGAAATAAGTCAATTACAAGGCAAAATAATACAAGAACACAGTTAAAAGCTATTGAAAAATTAATAAACCAAATCTATAATTCTAATATTTTACTATCTATATCTTCTGATTCTGACAAAAATAATCTATCTCAAGAATCTGATTTTGAATATAAGCAAATAGGTAATAATAATATTCAATGGGAAGAAATTATTACAAATTGGTTAGAGATTTTAAAAGATAAACAACTTGAGGAAGATTTAGATTTTAATAATCTAGATAAAGTAGATCATCCTGTTGCTAGTCAAGATGTTAAATAGTCTTTATTACAAATTTTTCAAGATAATATTGAGTAACCTACTTCTTATAATCTGTTATTAGAAGATTAAATATAATAATATTTATAAAATTTTATTAATTTTATTAGTTAATAAAAATTATATGATTTATAAATGACAAATGGTCATAAAAAATAAATAATTTTTTTTTACGACAAAAATGACTTGTCATATGATATGTTATCATTTATTTTAAATAACAATATACTAACACTGTATAATATCACTTTTACTCTAAATATAAAATAGTTCTAACTCTAATTTTAATTAAATAAGTACATTCCTTCGCTTTAGCAATCCTCCAAATAAGGGGTCAGCTAAAGTAGAGCAAGATTTAGTTAAGGTTAAGATTACTTTTTTGATGCATTTAGATTATTATTTATATATAAATATCAAGAATATGATTTATACAATATGTAGATCAACACAAGGCCAAACTTTCCATAGCTACACCAAACAGCACCATGCTCAACCACAATATCTATGGTATTAAAAATATCTGGGATATTCAACTCTAATACCATATAACATCTCTTCTACAAAGAATCAATAATCATCAACTTCTTGGAATCAGTACCCATATTTGACTCCAACAACTACAAAACAATCTTTGGTCATCTACTAATATACTTCATCATCCTAATCCATTAATTGATAGCAAAAACAAAAACACTACTATATTTAAGGTTATCCAACTACTTTTACACCTTAACATGACTATTCATATAGATTCAAACCTCTCTCGTCCATATACTCTTAACTATTCTTATACACCAATTAAAAACTTCCTCAACAATTACCCCCAATACATCTCCTTCAAACAACAACTATGTACTAAAAAAATCATGTTTCTCAAACAGCTTACATCTTCTGATAATACAACACTCTTTGACTGGACCTATATCTCTACACGTATTAAATATCTCCCTACTGGCAGAAAACCAAAATGGTTTTTCATACTTGAAAATATCATTATTACTAACCCCTCAACTCGTACAATCTCAAATCAAATAATACTTTCAGTCATTAATACTCTTTCTCTCACTACTAGTCACTTCTCAAACAAATCATCCCTCTGGCTTCTCATATATAATGATGATAATATCATTATAGGGAAAGCACATCACTTTAACTACTCTACTAACACTATCTCTATAACACACTGGCAAACAAATATTGATACTTCTATGACTACTCTCTACCCTACTCCTCAAATCTCTTGCTATCCATGCTCCGGTTGTAATCTAAACTCTCTACGCATTGCAAATTACTGCACCTTCAATATCTCTGCTACTCTCTCTACTAAGTTTTTCAGTAGAAAGATATATAACAACACATCTAATAAATTAAAACTGAATGCTCACTATCTTGACCTACTATACTCAATTGCTCTTAAAAACCCAACTAACTTATCTCCTCCACCTTCAATCATAATCTCTCAAAGTTCTGTCTACACTATTTTTTCTTCAAATCTAGCCTCTCACAAACTCGAACAGCTCGCACACAACAACTAATCCTTTTCTAACTTTACTTTTTTTACTGATGGATCTGTATCCAATATTACTACTGACCGCTGCTCTATGAGTATTAGTTGGGTACAAACATTAAATGACTCCATAGTCCATACCTACTCAGCTCCTATAAAAAATTAGTCTTCTTCTTACAAAGCTGAGCTTATTGCAATCCTGTCAGCTATCAGTACTTGCCTTTAGAATAGTAACATCCATATCTACACTGACTCCTAATCTATAATATCAAAATATACCAAAATTACTATACAACCTCCTAAACCCAACAAGATATACTCTTACAACTACTGGCCTATTTGGCATACTCTACTCAACTTAATCAAAT